CGTCCTCTCTGAAGACAAACTTCTGAAGGAGGAACTATTACTGTCCTCACCGCACAAAAGAGAAAACTGAGGCTCCTAGAGAGCTGGTGATTTGTCCGAGTCACCTTTGAAAAGCACAGGCAGGTTGCCAACCAGGCGTATGTAACAAGAGACCCTCGTCCTTCATCACCACCAATTCCTACTTCCTGTAAGTTCAATTTACTGTTTGTCATCACGCATCATTCTCTTTTCCCTGTCTCTCTCCAAGCTTCTCCTTCATCTTTTCTTGGTTTTCTGTCGTCTCCACTTGACTTGCACGGCAGCTTCCCTAAGTCACTGCCCAGCACTATGGTCCTGGCAGAGACAAAACCCAAGTCTCTGCACAAAGGAAGCCTACTTCTATTCAGAACGTGAGGCACAGGACAGTGAGTGACACACAGTGGAACACTCTGGTCCTGGATCCTGATGCAAAAGGTGCCTAGAGCCACACCACAGTCTCAGTCTGGCACAAATGTTGGTGATGCTGAAATAGACTATTTTTGGTTTATGGTCAAAGGGGCTCCTGGAGCATCACTGGGCTAGTAGAAAGGATAGCAGCTTATGATTATTAAGCCGTAACGAACTTCCTGACACTGGGAAATGTCTGCTCTCACTGAGGTAAGAGTGAGGTTGTTTACACAGGTCCCTTTGATAGGAAGAAACCTGTGTGGTTGGTGAATAAAGACAACTGAAAAACTAATCAGGATCTTAAAATGCAAGGGGAACTGGGGATAGAATAGGAAGTAGAATCTTTGGTTCCACTGAGAACCAAAAAAATGGGTAAATTCCAAATTAGCTGTTGGGTCTTACTGAGTGAAGGTTCCATGGGATCTTAATTGAGGGCTTACTATGAGCACCTCACAAAATTATCCTATTGAAATTTGCCCTTGGGTCTGCAGGAGATAATAGGAAAAGAACAATAGCATCATGCTAATTTAAAATACTATTTATGAAATGTCTCCACTGACTGTTCCTAGTATTCTTCTTTACTCCAAAGCTGGGACACATGGGAGGGGTGATTTGGAAATAGTCTTGTTCTTAATTCTCCCCTTCCTTGTTCCTGGTGCTAGTCCCCATTCTCCCCTATATGTGTTGCACTATGAAAATCTTTAACTTGGGAATTGGTGGTCTGGGTAACAGTTCCAGCTTCCTGGACTGCCACTGTCTCCTGGGCAGATGAGAAGTTCTGGGGACCTCCATCTGCTCATTGCTAAAGTCAAGGAGTTGAACTTGATGGTAAGTTCCTGGCATTGTAACATTCTCAGGTTTCTCTCTAGTAAAGATGAAGCTACTGTCTTCTTTTCCCCGCCATACAGAATTTGGGTGTACCTGAATCATCTTTGCACCACTTGGGGCTAATCCAGAGTGTCACACTGGGAAGGACCAATGATTCTAGCCCTAACTTGGCCATTACCAATGGAGGACACATGTCTAGCCGCATGGGATGAGCCCATTTTCCATCTTACTACCTCTATCATAGAACTACTGGGGGTGACACTATAGATAAAGCACTGAACACAGTGTAGGCACTCAAAACTCCTCTGTTGCCTGAATGACACCGCCCATGAACAGGTGGATTTAACTAAATTACTGGCTTAAAAATGGAATACTTTTCCCACTCCACAATAAATTGGACACATTTATTCCTATCAAAGATCAGTTCCGAGCAAAGGACATGCTTCATAGCCACCAGTTAGCACACGTGGACATCAGGCGCTCTGTTATTTTCCCTAATGTTCTTGGAAATAGCTACAGAGTTAAACCTCATGATGCAAAAACATTGGCTTATTCTGGAAACTGGAGATGGTTTCCTTTACTAAAGAAGAGAAATTTCAGAGAAACAGATTGTTCTCTTTTAAAGCACCCCAATTTTTCCCATGCTGGAAAACCAGATCTGCCTTGTTTCTAGCATTCCAGAACCCTAGACTAGACGATGGTTCAAGATGAAAGGCACCTTGGTGATCACTAGTTCATCCTCATCTGATGGGAAAGAAAGTGAAGGTCTACATGTCTCATGTAACACAAGTAGCTAATCCAGAAGGAGATGCAATTAAATAATGGAATTAATTTTCACTGTGCAATACTGCATTTTCTACTTCACACAACACTTTCATATACCTGAATTCAATTTATGACCCTCGAGGTAGATATCAGTGTCTCCATTCAACAGATAAGGAAGTCCAACTTCAACATGTTAGAAGGATTTGCCTATCATCATTGCCCACACAACCCTACTCTCTGGCTCTGGAAAGCATGAGTAGTTCTAAAGGAAAGCAAGTATTCTTAGGGATCCTGGACTCAGAAGTTTAACTAGTTGCTATGGTTTGTGTCTGGATATCCCCTCAAAGCCTCATGCAGTCATAGGGTGGGCTTCTAGAATTTGTGACTGATTCATGGTCCAGTGTTGGGGTTATGGGTGTGAGTGCTACACCTGCCCTGGGGCGGGTAGTTTGCCTACAATGTAAGGGAGGGAAAGAGGCTTGCTTCCCTCCCCTTTTTGCTCTTGCTGCTTTTGCTGTCTTGTGCTGCCTTAAAGTGTTGCCCCTGTGCCCTGCGACCCTGCCTTGGAGCCAGCTGATTATAGAAATCTCTACAAACTGTAAGCTAAATAAACCTTTACTTCCTTAATTCTGAGTGTTGCGTATTTTGTCTCAGCAATGACAGAAAAGTAGCTAAGACACTAGTGAAGCATGCAAACGAAGCCTGTGTGTGTCAGGCTGACTGCTTAGTGTGTAAAGTGATCCCTCACATGCTCTGGATCAGGGAAGATGGGATATGTCCCTTCCAATGGCCACCTATTTGCCTAGACCTATGCCAAGGACTGGAAATATCAGAAAACGTGGCTCCTGCCCCGAGAAGCTGAAGGCTGCCTGAAGGGATAGTGGTAACTCCAATGAAACAATGTGAACGGCATTACTCAGCAATTAAAAGGAACAGACTGTAATCCCACACACCACATGGATGATTCAAAAACATTATGTTGGGTGGGAGAAGCCAGACATAAAAGACCATATGATCCTATTTATATCAAATTATAGAAAAGACATCCAATCAGTAAGGAGAAAAAGCAGATCAGCAGCTGCCTGAAGCACAGCATGATTTGAGGGAGAGATGGAAGTATTCCACATGTGATTGTGGTAATAAACATGTATGTAAGCTTTTGCAGAAATTCGTCAATATTTATTGAAAAGTACACCTAAAATGTGTATGTTTATTACAAGTAAATTATATTAAAGAAATTATTCTAAAAACAGTGTTTGCTTTTGTGGGCGTTTTGGTCTGGTATGGAAAGATAGCTATTAATGTAGTCCTTGTATAAATAAATGAAAAATAATTATAACTAGACAAGGGCTATGAGAGATGTTACATAGAGTACGAGAGTGTGTAATAAAGACGTGGTCATTCAGCTGGACTGAGAAACACTTCCCAAGGAATTAGTATTAATCTGAGCTTACAGCAATAAGCAGGCATGAACCAGAAATGATGACTTGGGCTGAAGGGGTAGCATGTGCTATGGCCCTGTGGTTGAAGAGAATCTTCTGAGAAGCGTTGAAAGAAAGGGCAATGGAACTAGAGCAGAAGAAGGAAAGGAGTGGTAGGAGATGAGTTTTAGGAGATGAGCAAAGGCTCTCCCTATAGGGAAAATTAGTTTTAGATAAGAGTTCACATTTTTCTCATAATAAATGTGAAGTCTATTGAAATGGTTTAAGGAGTCGTAGGAGTTGAGGAAGAACTTTGCTGGTGGATTAACACTGTGGAATTAGTAGTCTTATCACCTTTATTCTGACTTGTAGGTTCTTGAGATTACAGTGTTACCAAGTTGGGTAGCCCTCCAAAAATTTCAGCAGTACTGAATATAAATTATTTGATGCAGAAGAACAATTCTAAATGACTAAAGGAAGAAATGAATGGACAAATAGATTTTTTTCAGGATTCAATTATGTGCTGTTCCAGTCATCTAATGAATGATGAATCTGGAATAATTTAATTCTTCTCCTCAAACTGAAGCTCTGATGGAAAGGATAGGAGGCTTGACCTCCATATTGTTCAATATGGCTCCCACTCCTGAGAATGCAAGAAACTCACTGCCAGGGAGCAAATCAAATCCCACTTCTTCCTCTTGTCACTGCTTTCATAATAGGTCCTTCAGCTTGTCAATCAACTTCTGTGAGTTGTCCTACCTGCACAGTAGCCTTATTGTACCAGGTCTTCTCAATAAACAAGTGTGATCTAACCTCTGCCTTCTATCTGTGGCTCACACTGCTTGGCATTTGCTGCCCAGGTGCTTTGCTTTCTTTTTAAACATGTTGCCCCTTCTTTAAACTCTCTTTTGCTCTCCATCCACAATGGTCTGCCCTTCAGCCAGAGTAAACTAACATAAGTGCTTAGGAGGCAAAACCTGTCACATTTATAGTGAAGGACAAGCCAAGTGATGCTATGTCACCAGCGCAGGCTTCAGAGTGCATCTTCTACAGCAAAAGACACTGCAAAACTGCAGGCAACACTGCAGCGTCCTGCATGAAGAGAAGCATCCGTCTTCCTCTCAGGTTCTTTGAAGAAAATTCGTTTCTCCTCTAACCTTTGAATAGAAATTTGCCTTTTTTTCTGGCAAGATCATAAAGAAGGGAAAGGTGAGACTGAGAACAAATTTCAGTTTGGTGTGGAGGGTAAGTGCAGCATCTGTAGCACGCAGCATCAGTGGAATGAATGGCTTTGGAATTAGGTAAATGTGAGTCCAAACCCCAGCCACAGCTGGGAAAGCATGGCTTGTGGGTGGCTGGCCCCAAACACCTGAGACATAGCAATGACAATGTGATTCGTGATGAAGGTAGCCTTACCCAGCCCTTTCTGCACAAGTTTCATTTAATGCTCACAGTGACATTATGAGGTAGTTTACCTTTACAGAAAAGCAAACTGAGGATCAGATCCAGCACGGTTAAGAAACAGACATGAGTTTCTTCCCAACTGAGGCAGCTTTGAAATTCAATATATTGTCACTTTTATTACTATTACTCTTAACAAATAAACTTCTAGGATTAAGACTTTGCAATTTGAACTGTATAATGAAGGTTCTTTTCTCCCCGGCAGGCCTGTGATTTATTTGATTAAAGTGCTTGCATTTCCTTCACTTTTATATTTCCTCACCCTTACTTCCTCAGTGCCAAATGATGTGCATGGTTTATAGGTGCAGAAAACATCAAACATTTGACTTGTGGGGCTTTTGGAGAGGCTGAAGTTTTGCCTGAACCAAAACTGACCACTGTTTCCTTCTTCACTCATTTTTAAAATCATGTTAAGTATTAATACCCATTGTAAAAGTAAACACAGAAAATTCAAAAACTATAAAGATGGGAGGCAAAAATGTTCTGATCCTACCACCCAAAGGTATCATTTTGCTTTATTTTCTTCCACTTGCCCTATGCTCATATTTATGTTCTTGCACTTGATCTAAGAGACTATTCCAGATAAGGGTTTATTTTATAATAAAAATCACGTTTATACATTGCAAATATGAAAAATAATACTAGCTATATATACAGAGTTAATTGCTAACATTTTGGCATATTTTGACTTGAATTCTGCATATTCCATTCTGAGGAACCCTAACTGCATAAAGGATCTGCTCGCTTGTTTCACGCTAATATTGGGTGTAGAAAAGATAGATTTGTGATTTGTTGTACTAGCCACATAAGCTCAAAATCACTTAACCAGCTCCAAGCTGTTGAGATTGCAGTTGGTTTCCAATTCATCACATTTCTAAATGCGAAACAACATTTTGGCTGCTGCCATTGCCGAGGTCCTCTGGTCATTGGATCAGGAGTCAAGGTCACTGGAGCAGCCCTGGGGCCAGTCTCAAGACTCCAAAATCTGAGCTTCTTCTACCTTCCATGCTGCACCACCCATGCACCTGAGAGCATCCGATGGATTTGGGTCATTGAGCGAGTAGGTTTCCGCAGGGCAATGACTTTGTAGACTCCCACAAGGACTCTCCCACAGCGGACCTCGCCTGTGGACAGAGGCACTGCGAAAGAGGGCAAAGAAGCAGAAAAGATTTAAAAACCAATTTGTGTACATGCACAGCCTTCCAACATTTCAGAGGGAGCATGGAACAATCAATAAAAGTAATTCTCTCTCTCAGTCTCTCTCTCTCTCTCTCACACACACACACACACACACCAAACTCCTTATTCTTTTTCCAAAAGCAGTTTCTTATGTATTCTAATAGAATTATATAATTACCTTTCTATATATCTACCTACATACACAGTCCCGTCTCTAACCACTTCACTTGTCCAGCTATCTCATATATATAGCTATTTGTCCATCGATCTATCCATCCACCTTCCATCCTTCCTTCCTTCCATCTGTAAACAAAACCCGAGGTCTTTAAATAAACAACTACCTAAGATATAGCAGTTCAGAGGGTGACTTTAGAGGTAGGACCCTCAATTCGCAGCCCAGCTACCAATCTACTTTATAGCTTTTGCCCAGATGCCTTGTTGTTCTCTGCCTCAGTTTCTTTCTATGTAAAACAAGGTCCATCGTACTGTGAATGTACCCTGAAGAATGGAGACAGGGAAGGCTGTGAGAGGGTCAGTGGTACTTTATTCCCCGCTCCCAGGCTCGTCTGCTGTGGGGAAAAGCATGAGTACGTTTCCCAGCCCACGAAGGGCAGCAGGAGGAAAACCGGGGGAATTTAAGGTGGGTGAGGAAAGTGCGGCCACCATGAGCGCTACTGGGTCAGGCCGGCACCCCCACAGCCTGCTCAAAGGGGCAGACCGGTGTTGTATAAACATTACCTCACATGTTTTGTGGGACACAAAGTGTTTGCTAAACTCTTGGAAGAGCTGCTCCGCCAGGGAGAACCTTGCGTGTGACCGCCACCAGGGTGGCAGCTCCTTGCTGGGACTGGCTGTGGGGACCTCCAGCTGGGCTTGCCCAAAACACAGGAACCCACAAGTGGGGCTGGCTCTATTTAGTGTAAATAAAGGCAAATGCTATCAGGGTTGAAGGACAAAGAAGTCACGCTGGGAGAAGAACCATGGCCTCCTCAGGTCAGGAGCCAGTGTCTATGAGCGGTGTAAGCCAACCATTCACCATTTGGGGGTCAGCCCCAGAGTGTGACATTAGCTCACGCCGCAGGCACCCTCTGGCACTGAGGTTTGCATTTAAGTAGGACCTTTATGGAGCAACGTTATGGTAGGTATTTGCATAAAATATCACAGGAAGAGTGTCCTGGAATTGAGAAGTGGGGCAATGCAGTACGGACCCTGGGAAGCAGCCACTATTCACTTGCGGAGCAGAGCCCCTGGGATCCTGGGGAACCCCAGCTGGCCACAAGTTCGCCTGCTCACCACAACTTACCCTCCACTCCAAAGCAGCAGAGCTCAGGGCCATGCCAGGTCAGTACTGGGTAGCTTTCCTATCCAAGCAAATCCATCCTCTAGCCATCCACCTTCCTGTGGGACAGTGACACAAGAACCTTTGACCCCTCCATGGGCCTTTCCAGGGAGAGGCAAAGCTCCAAATGTATAGCTGAGCCCATAGTAAAGAATGTCCGTATCAACTCTCAGGGCCTCCTGGGCTGAGGAAATGGACCAGGCTTTCTGTCCCAGTTAAGGTTCCTGCTACACTGACACATGAGGAAACGCTAATACAGATTTTTAAAAACTGTAATAGGACTGCAATCTTTGCATTCACTGATTAACACTGAACACAGAACCACCCAGTCACAGTGACTCTGTGTGCATCACCGGAAGTTGATATTTAAAGTCGGAGATGGAAAGCTTCGTGAACAACAGACTCAGGCCAAATTTCTCTCCATCTCCACACTGTCATCCAATGTAAGAGCTTACCTCCATAAGCAATGATGTCCCCCCGCATCTCTAGGTGCATGCAAGCAGAGTTAATGCCAGTGAGGAGAATCACTGCATGGGCCTGACGCTGTTCGGAGAATGTGAACTGCTGAACCTTTCTGGCTCCAAAGGAACATTTAGTTTTAAGTTTAGGTGTAGAAAAGACCAACCTTTGTGCTGACCCTGCTATGGGTGGAAGCTGTCTGGGAGGCACCTGGCCTAGATGGTATCTCTGGCAGAGTGCGGAGTTGATAGAGTGAACTGAACACCCAATATGGGATCACAGGCTATATTTTCCTTTGGCCAATGAGCTATTGTGCTTTGCTTCTCTGTGCCTCAACTTCTTCATTTGCAAAATGGGACTAATAATTCCTGACCGGTGGCACTTGGGTAAAAAACTCAGTGAGAGCCCAGTTCAGTGCCCGGCGTACAGTCAGCTCCCATATGCTGCATAAGAACCATGAGGCAGCCCTGAACAATTCAGGACTCAAACTGGAAGCAGTTGATTTTTGGGTGCAGATGCTTATACATCCCTCTACTCCTTCTGGAAATGAACCCCAAGACTTATGTGTAAGGAAACTGGAAGTCTAAGTCAACCAATAGAATGGGGAAGAATGTGCTCTGTTTTTCTCTTCCACAGCTCTGGAATTAAAACCTAACAGCCTCTTCCACATTCAACTCAAATGCCAGATCTTCCTACTCTGCCAGGATTAGGTGCACCGGCTTGGGGCCTGCAGGTGGGGTCAAGAGCACACTCACCGGTCTTTGGTTATTTAAAAATTCTGTCAATTCAAGAAGTCACTGTCACTGCCTCCATCAGCATCAGGCACATGCATGTTTGGCTTTTGCATTCTGTGCTTCCTAATTCCATTCCTGGGGCTTAATTATGATTACACAGCTTTATTACATAAGAGTTGGTTTTAAGTAATGGCCCTAATTAAGACTGAATTTTAATTAAGCTTAATTCAGAGCCTGCCTCGGATTGCCAAAGATTTGTAGCCTGAGATGAAGAAAAGCTGCCGGTGCACAAAGCTCACACGTGACTTTGATCTTCATGCTGCTGAGCTGTCTAAGCCAGATGGCTTCACTTGATTTTCAGGCCCCAGGAGTACATTTCTTCAGCAGACTGCGGGGCAGAGTATATTCCACTTTCCCCTCCTCTCAGAGGCAAACCTAGAGCCCGGGCAATAAGAAAGCAGAAGTCAGTTGACCTGGAGGCACAGAGCCTGCAGCTCAAGAGTATTAACCACACCCTACCTCAAGGACTGAAGGTCCTCTGCTGCCGTGCGTTGTTCAAGACTCACTTTACAAATTAGCAAACAGCAACTCAAGGTGACTAAGGCACACAGCCAGGGAGGGCAAGAAGAAGATTAAAACTTAGTTCTGACACAATGCCTATGCCCCCTCTGTTCAAACACAGTCTTCCAATGAATGGCAGTCATCCCTAGGAGTACAAGAGAAGCCCAGTTCCTCTAACTGCCTGCTAAACTGGTGCTTCTCAAACTCTGGCAGTTTATATGCTGTGTTGGTGAGTTTTGCCACATACATGTCCATGAACACCATCAGGTAGGAGAGAAATAAAAACTAAACTGATTTGTTTTCAAATGACATTTTCATCCTATCTCTAAAACTGCTATACATCTGGGTTATTGTAAAAAAAAAAAAAAAAATTAAAAAAAATAAAACCATTACATCCAAATCAGAAACTGTTACTTTCTAAAGGCCCAAGATAAAGGCCTAATCTGTCTTTATTTCAAAAACAGATATGATAAAAAAGTTTAAGACACAAAAACATAAAACAGACTTTGTCATTAATGTGCTTAGAAAAGATTAGAGTTGGAAGGATAATCACTATTGGGACTCACTTTTATTTAAAGTCCCACCTGGCATGGTGGCTCATGCCTGTTATCACAGCACTTGGAAGGCTGAGGCAGGAGGATTGCTGCAACTTTGAAGCCAGCCTGGGCTACAATGTGAATTGAAGGCCAGCCTGAACTGCATAATGAGACTCTTTCTCAAACCATACTCATAAGTGAAATAAATCAAACATACATGTGCAAGCACCGCATTGTGTCAATAGTGTAAAACTTGAAAGAGTTAATTTAAACTTGGAGGTATGATAGACACTGTGAAATGAGGAAACCACTGAAGAGTAAAGGGCTTCTGGGATGTGGGAAAAGAGAAGGGAACAAAGGAGAAATTTTGTATGTATGTATACACAGGATAGATAACATGGTTGTTCTTCTGTCTTCTATTTCTATGCTGAAAGAAACTATCAATGAGTCTTTGGTTGACCAGTATTGCATGTCTATATCTGTTTTCATGAGAAGCCACTTTGAAGATATCAATATGTAATACAACCACCATTGTTAATTCCCTACCACTTTGTTTGTAACTCTGTATTGTCTGTATTGTGCTTGTGATATGTTGTAAAATGTTGTATGTCTGTTAATGTTTCCCTCCTTTTATCTTTAAAATAAAAAAAAAAGAGAAAAAAAAAAAAAGACCAAAATAAATAAATAAATAAAGTCCCACCTAAACGCCACCTAAATTCCATTCTTGTGTGTCTGACACTTGCAGAGCTGGACTAAGCCCATGTTTCTAGGTTTTGCCTTTGACCACTACTAATGCTCTGACGCAGTACAGTGACACAGTTCTGGACAGAAATCCAGCTCTCCTGTGCTCCAGCAGCCCAAGGACAAGGTGTGGACATTCCACTGGTGTGTCAAGTGAAAATACAGTGAAATCAATATGTTCTATAAGGTTGGCTGGTGGAGTCTGTTCACCAGCGGAGGTCAGTCCTGACCACCCCTGTCCTGAATGTCACTGCCACACTCATCTGTTTCATACTGACATTCCCACCTTAGAAAATCACCCACTGAGAAACCAAGCTCTAAAAACATTGACTTTTCTAGAGGGAAATAGAATTCAATTGCCTTTAAAATAAAAGGGATGATTTCATGCACTCATGCCATACTTAAAATTGAATTTGAAAGCAAGCATTTCAGCCAGGCATGGTGGTGCACACCCATAATCTCAGCACTTGGGAGGCTGAGGCAGGAGAATTGCCTCAAGTTTGAGGCCAACCTCAGCTACATAGTGAGTTCAAGGCCAGTAATCACCTTCCACCTATACCTCTAACTGACAGTCTATTTCTTACACTCAAAAAGGATAAATGGGCCTAAAACAGAGTAGATAACCATTTTATGATTTTAATAATACAAGCCACAGAACTTTGCCTTTAAACACTGAGTATCTGAAAGTACATTTGCTTAGCCTAACCTAGTAGCACAAACTCCACCTTCTGAGGCTTTCTCCTAAACAGCTGAAGTGGGGACTTCCTGCTCTTCCTAGATTTGGGGAAGAAGTTACTTTCAAATCCTTCATTTGGGCCAAAGATTGTTAGATGTACCTGCTTGATATGCTCTCATTCATACACGTAGGAAATGTCACTGGATTAATAAAGAAGTCAAAGTTGATTAAAGTAGAAAATGTTACAAATACAAATTTATGCTCAAAAATGTATTCATCCCATTACAATCATGTTTAAATACTTTTATATAAAGCAATTCTTTATATTTTCATTCCTGCCAGGACCAGGCAAGCTGTACAAGTGGTTTTGTGGCCACCACTGATGACTTCTCGAGGCAAACCCAGTATATTTTCTCCTGCCACCAACAACTACAGCCATCTTTGCCTAGAGGTTGCATTCCTACTCCACAAATTATTAGTTGTGGAACTTCAGGCCTCAGTTTTCGCATCTGTAAAATGACGATAACAGTAGCACCTACCTTGAAGGATAGTTGTGAGAGTTAAGTGAGATGGTGCTTAGCCCAGTGAGTGGCACACAGAAGTGATGAGTGGATGGTCAAAGGTTAACATTAATTCTGGTTCAAGCTTGCGCCATGATGTGTCTCAGCAGCTCCTGATTGCATGTTGGGAAAGACGCTTCTGTGCTGAGAAGACGTTCAGCAGACTCACAGAAAGTGGTAGGAGACGCGACTTCTCCACAAGTCTCTGAGATGCTCCTGTGTCCCCATTCTAGTTTTCTGCCCTTCACACAGGCCAAAAAAACAGCTTTGGCCAGAGCTGAAGCAGGTGCTGATCGCTCTCCAGAGACCCTGGCTGGTAGGGGTGGGCCGTGTGTAGTACATCGGGAGAAGTATGTGCTCATACCGAATCCCTCTTGTAAGTCCATTTTGACTGTGATCCAAAGGGAATCCCTCCAGGCTTCGTGTGCATGTGCCCAAACCTGCACACACGTATGCGTTTCTTCTTCTCTATGTGTTGCCCCTCCATATCCAGGAAAAACCCAATTTATGCAGGTAGCATCTTGCACACATAGCTGTCTGGCCCTATGTGAAGTTTAATGTGCCTCATACTGGGGATTTATACCAAGCAATAAAATCCACAGAAAGAGAAATGCAAATAGATTGTAGAATATAATATTATCATTGTCAACATAAGAGACTTTTATTTACTGACCCCCAAAAGAAAATACACCATAGTGTCATTTGTTTCAGGGAACGCAAAAAAGGTTTCAACAACTAACAGGGTATGTTTCTGAGCAAAATATGCCTGGTATATGGTGTTGGAACACACACTGTCAGTGGCCACTTGTGTGTCTGTGTTCTTGCAAACAAACCCAGGGAAGCAAATAATAGAAGGTCACTTCTAGCCTGCCTTTCTGAGCCACAGGTCACCTACGTAACTCTGTCCACAGATGCACCAAACAACAGATTTCTTCAGAAGGAGAGGCTTTCTGAGGCAGACCATGCTGGATTATCCCATCTCAGAAGGGGTCTGTGCCGTCGCTGGCTTGGCTTCCAGAGGAAATACGGTAAACATTGAGTGTGCGGATGGTTTATGCTGGGTCATGCTCTGATGGGCAATGAGAAGTTGGAAAAATGTAGCCAAGCAAAAGTGGACAGAGGTGACTCCCATTGTTTCTTAGGATCTAACCTTACAACACTATACCTACCTCCTCCCCAAATGCTAAAGGTCAGTTGTCAATTGTTTTCTTACACAGGATCTTGACAACGTATGAGGTCACAACTTTGTGACTTTGGTCAACTGACAGATCTGTTCTTTTACTTAGGGGGTTAGGGATCATATTAGACCCAGTCACACCAGTCACTTTATTTCTGTCTGAGTGGGCAGAATCTAAGGCTGCAAGACTTTAATCCATGTATGATGGCATACCCCTGTAATTCCAGCACTCGGGAGGCTGAGGCAAGAGGACCACTGTGAGTTTAAGGCCAGTTTGGGCTACATTAGTGAGTTCAAGGCCAGCCTGCACTACATAGTGAGACCCCTTCTAAAAAAACTCACTAAATTTATAAGACTTTAAATAGCAATAATTACCTTACTGTAATATATATGTTTTTATATATATAATTATTTCCATAACACCTTGTGCATGTCAAAATCCATGGATGCTCAAATCTCTGGGATAAAATGGTATAATAATTTGCATATAACCTACACACATCCTCCCATAAAGATTAAACATCTCTAGATGATTACAATATGTGATACAATGTCTATGTTCCTGGGCTGGGGATTTAGCTCAGTGGCAGAGCGCCTGCCTGGCAAGTGCGAGGTCGTGAGTTCAATTCCCGGTATGGGAAAACAAACAAACAAACAAAAATGTCTATGTTCCAAAAGTGGCTGTTGTATTGTACTTTTTAGGGAATATGGCAAGAAAAACGTCTATATATGTTCAGCACAAGTGCAAATATTTTTCCAATATTTTTGATTCACTCCAGATTGAATCTTCAGATAACAGAACCCCAAATATATGGAGCGCTGACTGTATTATTATAATCAATTTACAGATGGGAAGAGAGAGGCTTGAGAGAAGAGATGTGCATTATTGACAGTCGTGCAGCCTATAAGACAAGCCCAGATATACCCTCAGGTCTGGTGAGATCCAGAACTTCCATCCTGAGCCCCAAAAGCTGAAGGTGGCAACTTCTGAGAACTGACCTGGGGGCTTTATTTGGGCATAGACCTCAGTCCTCACAGGGGAGGACTGTGCCTGCTGTACAGATGAGGGAATTGATGCTCAAAAGAGGAAAAGTATTTGTCCAAGTCACACAGCTCTCATGTAGGATTCTGGGGATTAGAACTCTAATCCCTGGATCCAAATGCTGTGTAGTATAAAATGAGAGCCTGCTGGTGTCATGCAGATGTCTTTTCTAAACCACCACATCCGTGTCATTCCTTCATGTTGGGTGAGTTTCAGGACTTTGAGTAAACAAATCAATGACCTCATTTCACACCACAAATTCCTTTTCTCTGCTTGCAGCTCTTTTGGACAGAGAATGTCCCCTGTTAAAGAAGACATCTCACAAAAGACCTCTGGACAATCTCCAGGGTTACTGCATGCATAGGGAACAGGTTGTAGTCAAGAAAGGAAAAGAAAGCCAGGTGTAGTGGTGCACGTCTGTAATCCCAGGACTCTGGAGGCTGAGGCAGGAGGATCGCTGTGAGTTTGAGGCCAGCCTGGGCTCCAAAGTGAGCTCAAGGTCAGCCTGAACTGCATAGTGAGACCCTGTTTCAAAAAGACAAAAAAAAAAAAAAAAAAAAAAAGAAAGAAAGGAAAAGAAGAAATCACATCTCAGAGAGAAGACTGGTCTTCCTGCTCCCTGGGATCAAATGCCATCATCTTGTTAACTTAGTCCTAACTCAGCCACCACAAAGGCCCTCTTGAGTTCCCAAAGTGCCCCCCAAACCATGATAGGGCCCAAAGCATGAAAGTCTGTAATCATTTGCCTTCACTGGATCTCATCATCACAGAGGAAGTAGACTAGGAGAAGATTCACTTATAGAGGCAACAAATACTGGTGACCAATGAAAATGATGTCTATCACATCATAGGCTGGGCATTTCATGGAGAGGACCACAGGTAATGTCCCCTGACATCTGTGGCTTACAGAGAGTGGGGAAAGCAGACAAGAATCAGATGAACTGATAAAACTGATAAGCCAGGCCAGCTAACTACTAGATCGTGCTAAGAGAAAAAAAATAGAGAAATTACAAAGGGGAGAGTGGTCAGTGTCAGATTCAGAGCCCAGGGAGACTTTCCCAAGGAGGTGACACTAAACTGACACCTGGCTCTGAGATGATCTGGGGACACATGCCAGGAACAGGGTGCCAACACAGAGCTGTGCGGGGCAGTCACGCATATCAGAGTTTCCATGATGACATGAAGGTCACATGATCCCTAGACTCTAATTTTGATCAACAATGAATCACAGCCACCCTAGAAGTACAACAACTCCCCACCGCAAATCTCCACCACACCTGCTACACCCACAATGGAATTTTGTTTGACCAACAGAGAAAAGATTATTCCAAAATATACTTGGTGCACAATATCCACAGGGAGGATGAGGTTTCCCAGTGTCTGCTGTAAAAAGCTACCATCTTTGCTATTTAGTGTATTTCTTCCAAGATTGTACCTACTGTAAGAGTGTTGGCCCTGTTATGAATCCATAAAGTCTGCATTATCCTTCCAGAAATTCTGCAGGTGAGGGCCACTGCTAGCGGAATGGAGGCTTTATTGCTAAAAGGCTAGTCAGCGTTGGGAAGAGGAAAGGGAACCAGAGCTGACTGATACTTCCATGCACAGGCACCGAGGTGAATGCTTTACCCGTGTACTTTCCTTCAGTGGCAGGAGAAAGGACTGGCACTCTAGAGGCTCTCTACTGGCTCTCTACAAGGAAAACAGCTTCCTCAAGGTCACACAACAAGTGACAGAGGCAAAACTGATTACATCACAATAACTATTAACTCATTAATAATTACATCAGTCAAATACGGCAATCACTTACTAGTTCCAGGCACCTTGTTAGAATCCTTAGGGCTGTGCATGATTTAACTGAAGTAGCAAAATATTCTATTACTATTCTCATCTGTTGCTATTCTCACCTTGTTTTATTACTGTTCCCATTTAGCAGATGAGAAGACTGAGATTCAGAGAAGTAAAGTATCTTGCTTTGGCCCAGTGGTAAAACCAGGATTCAAATGGAGGTAAATCTAGTGCCTACTTTTCTCAGAAAGTAACTATGTCAAGGGAAGGAAAGGTAGAGATGTTCCACATTAAAGGAGAACAAGGAGACCCGCTGACTATAGGCAAAGCCTGATTCTATCCTGGAAACTGTACTGAAGGGAGAATAATATCAAGGGTGCCATGTCAATAAAATTAGAATGTGGGCAGTTTAGATAAGATAGTCAAGTCAATTTTGAATTCATACAGTAGGTAACTCTACTGTGACAGCATTAAAAGAATGTCTTCGTTCTTAGGAAACTTACAGTTGAGTATTCACGGGGAAAGGGCCGTGTTATAGGCAATTTCTTTTTAAGGATCATGAAAAAAAGTGTGTGCATGCATGTGTGTGTATGCACATGTGTGTGCATAAATTTCATGCTGGGTGCAATGGCGCACACCTGTAATCCTAGCACTTTGGGAGGCTGAGACAGGAGGATCACAAGTTCAAGTCTTGGCTGGACAACAAAGCAAGTCCCTGTCTCAAAATCAAAAGTGCTTAAAATATAGATCAGTTTGAAGGCTCTAGTTTCAACACCTGGTTCCACAAAGAGAGAACAAGCAAATAAGGTAAAATGTTAGTAATAGACTAACATAATGGGTCTACTTATTTTTCAGTAAGTTTGAAATTATTTCCAAGAAATATTTTAAAGATAAGAAACAGAGGATGAATAGGTGTCATACAATAAGCTTATGGACATTTTCAGAGACCTAATTCTTAGAGGGCTTAATTCTTCCCCTCTGTCCAAAATTCTGTCATTTCTAATTCATTCCTTCAGCTTCCTATGTTTTTAAATGTATATAGGACCCTTGACAGAGATTCATCATTCGGCTCCTTGGGAGAATGAGCTTGCAATGTTAACTACGGTCTGAGACCCCGGCACTGAGTGAATCAGCCTGACATGGAGAGAACACTTGTGGTATGAAGCCCTGTCTAGTGCAAAGCGTCTTTGGGAGAGCTACAAGGTGGGCAAATAGCAAAGCACAGAAATGGTGGGCACTGAAAGATGTCAGGAAAACCTGTGAGGCAGAGGAAAACAGAAAAATATAAAACACACTTTTATCAACAACTTTCACCTGTCAAGTCACAAAAGGGCTGCTCAAATATCCCTGTGGTGGGCATAAATCCACATCTCTTTCCCTGGGAAGTAAATACTCAGTCAAAACAATGAATAGCAAATGTTGTTCTAATGATTACTAAATCGGAATCATTCTGTACTTGTCTTTTAGGTTAGCCTTGCCAGTTATAGAAAAACAGAAATAAAACAGAGGAATAATGTTACACTGTACTTCTGTAGTAGTAAAAAAATAAAAGTAAGGACATCTAACATTGATGTTTTTACACATAAAGAAACAGACTGAAAACTTTCACTTTTACTCACTATCAAAGAAGTGGAATAAAATGAATAATAGTGTGTGTAAAGGAATTAGCAGAAGCCAAAGATAATGGTAATTCATAGGATTGTGGAGATTCATGCTTTCAGAGCTTATGGCAAATAAAAAGTTTCTCAAAAGGCAATGGATGATTGTTTTAGGAACTATAAAGATAATCATAGTCCTCAGCATAGTAAGAATTTTCTCCAGAATTTACTAAATTAACCCCAAGGAAGAAAACAGTTACTCAGAAATGTACACACTACTATCATTTATAGTATTCTTTAAAAATCTGGAAAATAAAATATCCAAGACAAAGAAGAACTCAAAAAATGACAAAAATAGTTAATGAAACATTAAAATAACAATTATGAATATGCTTGCTGCTGATTGAATTGCATCCAAAATTTACACATTAAAGCCTTAACCACCCCATGCAACTGCATTTGGTGTAAAGAAGTAATTAAGGTTAAATGTGGTCATAAGATAGAGCCCAGACCTAAAAAGATTATCACCCTTCTAAGAAGAGACTCGGGCATTTTCTCTCTCCATCAAGCAAGGACACAATGAGATGATACACCATCTGCAAACCTCACTGGAAACTGATTGGTCAACGTGTTGTACCTGTTCTTCCCAAAATGCATGTCTACTGTTTAAACTACCCAACCTGTGGTACTATTTTTGGCAACCCGAACGGGCTAACGCTCTTGTGTTTAAAACAATACTCTTACACTTAAATGTCAAGAGGTTAAGTGGGGAAAAATACCTTAAGAGTAAATTCTACTTGTGCTATGCTTAAACAATAGTAGGAAATGGAAATTCAAAATCCTGATTCACAATCCAGTGCTATTTCCACAGTACTTTTGTCAGAAACACTATTTGGCTCAATAGTGATAGAAGTTATAATACTCACTCTGGTTTATTGAGTGCTATGTGTTAGGTATGGTGAAAAGCACTTTATGTACACTGTCAAACCCAATGGTCCCACACACCTACTGGGCAGATAAGGGACCAAGAGGTCATAATTGGCCTCAAGTCCTTCAGGAAATAGTTAACAAAGTCCAGGTTTGAACTGGAACTTTTTTGAATCGAAGTCTCAAACTCTTAAATTCTAAAACATGCAGTATTTCAAATGAATAAACCATTTGCTTTTATGGCAGAAGGATGAATTATGTGCCCTTGGTATATAAGCTAGCATTTTTCCCAAGGGCCACACACAGTTTCCTAATTTCTATTCAGCATCCCAGGCGCTTGTCTTCCGTGCTAGAATAGTCATTGCCATTTTCTACAGAAGTACCTTTAGAAAGTGACCATTAATGGTTCCCTGGCTTGGGACATCACCTGGCTTCTGAACAAGCACAGGAAATTTAGACAGCATTTGCCATGTGCCAGGTGCTGTCACCACCATCATTGGGCTTTCTGATATTCTCAGGGTCAAGCAACCTATCCCACTGTCAGCCCACAGCCCAGCAGGTCCCTGTCTTCATGCTAACTTGTCCTGCTAAACTAGTTTGTTTTTTCTGTCCCAACCTAGATGGCACTTTATCCAAGAAGCCATCCTTAAATCCTAAGCTGGAAAATATCCTCCCCGTATGGGGGCTCACCAGGCACGAAAGTCTTGGCTTTGGGTCCTTCCTAATCTCTCTGCAAAGGCCCATCTTTTTCCCAGGATGGATTCTCTTTAGTTCCATGAAGCAAAGCCTATGCCTTATACCCCTCACCTCACTAATGGTTCACAGTTTAGTACAGAGTGATATATCAGGAAATACTTGGTTCATGAATGAATAAAAGAAGAAGCACCAAAGGTAATTTTAAATTTGAATTTCCATGTCTATTGATGAGGGCTTTCTTTTTTTTTTTTTTTTGTCTCTTTGAGGGGCACATAATTCATCCTTCTGCCATAAAAGCAAATGATTTTTGGTCTCTTTGAGACAAGGTCTCACTATGCAGTTCAAGCTGGCTTCAAACTCGCAAAGATCTTCCTGCTTCGGGCTCCCAAATGCTGGGACTGCAGGCATGCACAATCACGCCCAGCTGATGAGGGCTTTTGGGTCAAATTCATGATTCTGTAATGTGAGAGGCAGTTTAGCAAACAGAACACATCCCAAACAGAACCAGTTTCATTTCCCACACCTATGACTTACTGCAACTTTAAGCAAGGTCCTTAGCCTCTCTGTACCTTAGTTTCCTCATCTGTACATGGAGCATTGCCTTCATCACATAGTGTTACTCTGAGGGTCAAACAGCGTTGGATCCATGGAGCTCTCAGCCCTGTCCCTGACCGTGGTAAGCGTGGCATAAATATTAGCTATGATAACTTAGATCTGTGATGCTGCTATCATGATTATGATGGTTTGAGCCATATTTAAAAGTAAACAAATCAAGCAGATACATTCAGCAGGCTGCTGCCATGGAAACCAGGCTAAATATCCAAAATGGATTTGACTCTTCAACCAGATGTTGGATATACCAAGGCATCTGGACTCCACAAGCAGAATTCACCTCTATAAAGAAAATTTCAGTTCCCTCTGTCAAATTCAACCCAATTAGGGAAAACCAAACCACATAACTCCAAATGTCTGGTCCCCTGGAACTCAGTATAAGGTTTGTTCTGCTAAATCTGATCTGAAGTCTTGAGTCAAGCAAGGTAGTTCTTGGGTCTTGAAAATACCCTTTTCAGGCATGTTTACACCTAGAGTATAAGGTCCCAGTTATGCTCAATCTTGTAGGCACAAACACTGTGAGTGCAGGGGCCAATGAACAGAGAGGTGCTATAACATACTGGTCAGGCACACAGCCTTCGGATAGCAGCTCCACAACTTACTAGCTGTACCGCTTGTGAAAATTACTTTAGTGCTCTGTGTCTCAGTTTCTCCAACTATGAAATGGGGCTAATGATAGTATCTACCTCACAGTGTGTCATAAAAGGAATAAATGAGTAATGTTTATGCAATTCTTGAAACAGTGCCTCATACTAAGTGTTCGTTAAATAAAGTAAATTTTAAAACTTTGAAGCCAACTTACGAGAGAAAATTATAGATTGTAACCTTGGGGCCTTGAGGACTATGAATGTGTATATTTATTTCTGCATTTTTATTTCAAAGGAATCTGTAGGAGGCAGGAAGGAGGCCAAAAAAAAAATCCTTTTTGTTCTGCCTATGTAGCTGGCAATTCCTATGGGGAAGAAATCAATGAGATTTTGATAATCAGTTTGCAACCCTCTCTGGCAAATCTCTAAAATTGATTCCACTAAGATCCTTGACTTTCAGGACTTCCACAAAGAAGACAAAAATAAATACAGGGGGCTGGGGATTTAGCTCAGCAGCAAAGCGCCTGCCAGGCAAGCGCAAGGTCATGAGTTTGATTCCTGGTACGGGAAGAAAAACAAAACAAAACAAAACAAAAAACAGTGATAAACACAGGTTTTCTCTATAATGGGAGGTAAAAATGTTCATTATTTCTCACAAAGAGAATACATTTTAAAAAGTTACATTTGCATGAAATTTACTTTATTAATAATAAACAGCATTAAAAGGTTTATATGATATTTTAAGATCTTAAATATACTTTCATATTTTAACTGCCTTCCATATATAGGGCCATTCTTCACATAATGCAGAATAAAGAGCATGTGATCTAGAATTAAATGATTTACATCATTCTGTATGAGCTCTCATTCGTAAACAACTGATTTCATGTCTCTAGGCCTCAATTTCTTTGTCAGTGGAATAGGTATATTATTCCCTACCTTGTGGCATATTTGTTATGGTTTATGTCTGTGTGTCCCCCCCAGTGCCTCATGCAGACATGGGGCAGGCTTTTAGAGTTTGAATATGGGTGTGAGAGCTGCACCCGCCCTGGAGTGGATAGTTTGCATATGTAAGGGAGAGGAAGAAGCTGCTTGGGGGCATTCCTCCCCATTCCAGCCCCGGTGTAAGTTAGTTGTTGCTTAGCTGTGGCTGCCGTCCTGAGATGCAGCTTTCTGCCACGTGCCACTCTGCCTTATAATCCTGCCAAGTACGGATTAAAACTTCGACGAACTGTAAGCGAAATAAACCTTTCCTTCCTTAATTTTGGGCGTCAGGTATTTTGTCCCAGCAGCGAGAAAAAAGTAACCAAGACAATATTGCAAGTATTAAGTGAGTGCACTCAGTCTGTAAATCTCTTAGCATAGGGACTGGCACATATTTTTGGCATTGTTGCCTTACATGACTGATTTTGAAGATTAGATTATAATGGACTATGAAAGCCAAGTTAGATAAAAGTGCCTCAGAAATTTCACATCACAGGGTATTACTTAAAACGGGATGTGTATATGAAGAAATGACATATTTTTACATATGATAATGACAGGAAGACTCTCTTTTGAAAAGAAGCCCTTATGAATAGTAGCTTTGAAATATTATTAACCACTAAAAGGATCCAGCAATTTTTTGGGCCAGGGGAGTGGCTGATTCCAGTTTTAGGAAGGAAATGTTCCACCTCACCATACCATACAGAGAGGGAGTCATGAACTGTACCAGGAAGTCATCAAATCTTGGGACAAAAAGACTTGGACAACTTGAAAAGACTACCACTAGTCAAAAGCAGGACAGTTCGGCCATTAATAAAGATAATAATGTAAAGAGTAGGAAAATAGTAACTATGTTCAAATCTATGAATTGATGCATGACACTTGAACACTGAAGACTTCTGGAAGATTTCAGTGAGACAGTTTATTATTTTCAAAAGTACTTAATAAAGGGGGGGAATGAAACATTTATCCAGCTTTTCCTGTATAATGGTTCCTCTGCATAATCAAATAGTTAAATGGGACATGTATCTTTGTAGGGGAGGATTTCAGCTTATAAATGGAGAAAAAATGGTAATGAATTTATAGATCTAGTGAATGGACATCTGTCTGCTCATGTCACCAAAGGAAGAAAGACAGTTGGACATTACGTGAGTATGAGGTCATCACACTTCCAGGG